GAGGGTAGGAGGAGTGAGGGAGCGTCTTGTATATTATTTGGTCATGATGGGCTCGATACCCCGATGGCTGCTCATCAATGAAGGTTACAGACGAATTGGAAGCGATGATGGGTGTATCTTGTGTCCCCGAGGTCAGTCATGGCCGGCCTGGGAACGTACGTTCGACACGTTTGAGTGCCATTCCGTGCCCAGATGAACACATACGACCATAGGTACTGGAGAACTCGGGATCCCGTCCGCTCTCCCATTGATAAACCAGTAACCGCCAGACCAGTAGTTTGGTCGGTGACGACCAGCGAATCCCTGGTGTTGTATGAATTTTTTGCCTCGCCGACATATTTGTATCCTGTTGAGCACAGGGTGTGCTCTGGCTGTGTTCCGATCAGTGTCACTGAGCCCCCCTCCTCTTAGTGTTGTGCTGTGGTTGGTCCCAGACGACACGGACTCAATTGCTCAATTCCACGTTGTATGACGACCCGAATCCGAGGCAGCCAGGCCGGGGCCTCGTAGAATACTCGGCCAAAAGTTATTCGGAAGGTGAAATAAATAGCACCATACGAAAGAGCAGGTCAAATAACTAACGGTAAACTCGCTCGCGGCCAATAAACAGTCGACACCAATATATTGGTGTACGATGGATATAATAAAAAGCTATTATGTACACAATAAGGTATATTTTATTTTGTAAAGATTTTAGTTTACAAAGCGCATATGGTATACTTTTAGCCCGAAGAAGCCACGCCTCTTTCATATCTCAAGAAGTAGGTAAGTCGAGGTTGAGTTGCTACTCAGGGACGGTGTACTGTTAGGTAAGCACGACCGTATAGCTCGGCTGACGGTCGGAGTTAGTGCCTTTGCCAGAGCGAGATCTCGGCAATGGACTCGGAGCTCCGAGCGCCATGGGCATGTTGGAAGCGGGTCGTTGAAGAACAGGAAAATCCCTTCAATACCTCAGACATCGACTGAGAGAGAACTGCCGACTACGTAAGTCTATCTTTGACTCATTCCCCGGGCATATGCGTCGTCACACCGTCCAAAGCCGTGCGTCGCCTCAAGATTTTGTGCCAAGCAGCTTATAAATGCGCCGTTGGGAGCGGCGAGCGGGTCCGTCTCCCATCCATCTTATCAGATCGATTGATAAAAACGCCACCCACTCTTTCACACCTCCCTCCTTCCCCACCCCTTTTCCTTGGTGTAAGTCATCGGACGATCGGTCGGTCGGTCGGCTCGTGCCAATCCGGCGTAGTAGAATACCAGTACCCATATTGCCATGTCCATGTCGGCGCGGAGTCGGAGCGAGCGCAGCCGCAGTCGCAGCGGCAGCACTCCGTCCGAGAGTGGCGAGCACCACGGTGACCGTCGCCCGCCGCGCAAACGCCAGCGCGTGCGCCTTTCGTGTCTGGAGTGCCGCCGGCGCAAGCTGTCCTGCGACCGTGAGTTTCCGTGTTCGCGATGTTTCCAGTCAGGGACGCCAGAGCGGTGCGAGTACGAAACGCGGCCGGGTCTTGCTCCGCCCAACAAGCTCGGCTTGGCCCAGGGCACCCTCGCCGGCCTCGATGTTCGGCTCTCGCTGCCCAGCACCGGCGGGGAGTCGGCTTTCTTCAGGAAGGATGTCGGCGTGCGGGAGCCTGACCGCATTCGGCGTCTGGAACTTGAGGTTGCGCAGTTGAAGGGGCTGCTGGCCAAGCAGGTGTCGCTGGATGGTAGCACTGTCAATGACCACTCGCCGCCCTTGCATAGACCCGAGCCGGATGTGGAAGTCGAGGGCACGCCGCCGCCGTACTTCCAGCAGAGCCAGGATCCCTATGCCGACAAGGAGGAGTTGCGATTCTTCCGCGGGAAAGAGTTCAAGACTCGGTACTTTGGTCCGAGGAGTGCCTTCATGGCGTTTTCAGAGGTATGCTTTTTCAGTCTTCCGTTCCCCTGGCGCTGTGGCTAACGGCGGGCCACAGCTTGGTGGGTTGTGTCCGTTCATGAAAGAGACATCGGAGGAGTGGCTCCGACCTCTTCATATTCAACATGACAACAAGGACCGCCAAAAGCGAGCTGAGGATCGCGAGAAGAGGTTCCGCGAGCCAGACGTATCCCTCGAGTCTCTCCTCCCATCTCGCGAGGAGGCAGACAGTCTGGTGTCCATCTACCTCGACCAGTTTGAGCAGATCCACCGCATCATCCACATCCCTTCTTTTCGAAGAGAGTATTCCAAGTTCTGGGACCCAACTGTAACCCGAAGCGCTGCTTTCACCTGCCTCGTTCTCGCCATGATCGGGATCACCAGCTGCCTTGACGAAAGCCCCCTGCCGAGGAAGTTCGAGAAGATGATATCGAGTTGTCATCATCGTGCTGTGCGCATGATCGAGGCCACAGAGCAGTGGCAAGCTCGCCAAAGCGAGAAACACCGCCGTCTCATCCACTATCAGATCGCCTGCCTCCTCTACCTCGCCAAGCGGATCAACACGGTCAAGAAGAAGAGGTTCTGGAAGTCGGCCGGCGCCATGACTCAAGATGCCATTTCTGTCGGGCTGCATCGTGAGCCCAGTCGTATCGGCCAGAACGTCCACATCACCCCGTTCAACCAGGAGATGCGAAGGCGCATCTGGGCTACCATCACGAGCTACGACGTCCAAGCGTCCTTCGACCACGGTCTTCCCACCATCTTGTGCTCCTTGCACCAAGACACCGAGCCGCCAAGCAACATAGACGACGACGAGTTTGACGAGGACACTGCCGAGCTTCCCCCATCAAAACCAGCCACCGAATACACCTTCAGTTCCTACCAAAGCCTCAGCCGCCAAAGCCTCGCCCTTCGTCTCGAGCTTAACCGGGTCCTCACCGGCCGCCCTGACGAGCTCGACTACGAACAAGTGATCCGTTACACCAACGAAATCAACCAAGAGATCGACTCCCTCCCCTCCTGGGACGTCTCCACGGACCGCACCCGCCCATCCGCCGGCGGCGTCCTCAAAAAACCCCTTCTCGCTTACACCCTCCTGCACATCCAACTCCGCCAATACATCATCCCTCTCCACCAGCCGTACCTCAAACTCCGCAAAACCAACTCCAAATACCAATACTCGGAAATCATCTACTACAACGCCGCGCGCGACATGACTCTCCTCAATGACAAGCTCGCCGAGCAAGGCATCCGCACCCTCAACTTCCTCCGCGAGGACGCTCTGACTCTGGCGATCAACCTCTGCAGCGTCACCATGCAGCAGCCCGTCGGCTCCACCAACATGATCATGATCAACTCCCAGCACACCCTCCAGCTTCTCGAAAAGTGCCTTGCCATGAAGGAGGATCGCATCCTCCGCTGTGGGAACAACGAGCCGTGGGGGTACTCCATCATGTGCGCGGCCGTGGGACTGCTAGAGGCCCATTTGAACGTGCGGACCTCGGAGTCGGCCAAGGCCGCGTCGGCGGAGAGGTTTATAGGTTTGCACTACAAGTTGCTGGCGGGCCAGGACCCGCCGGTTAGTAGCCAGCAGTCGGTGCCTGGGGGTGCGGGTGCGGGTGGGGTGCCGGGACGGTCGGCGACGCCGTTCTCGTCGCTGCCGCCGCCGCTGGAGGGGTTTGTGAGGAGTAAGTCGGTTACGCCGTTTGGGGCGACTGCGGCATCGGTGTCGGTGTCGAGTTCGGCGGCGCAGGCGCAGGCGCAGGCTCAGGCTCAGGGGCAGATTCAGGGCCAGGGGGTGGTTGGCGCTGTGGAGGTACCGGGCACGCCGTGGTGGCTGCCGAGTTCAGATCCGTCGAATTTACCGCAGGTGAGTGGATCCAGACTCGATCCGGGAGGCTTTGGATTTATGTTTATATACTGACTTGGTGTGCTCAGCCGGTGAACCCTGAGTTCAACTTTGAAGTGTTGGGGCTGAACTTGAATGAGCTTTGGGGAGGGGATGGTTCGTGGGATTGGGATACTGCGCAGTTGTGAGCAAGCGAGCGGGCTGGGTTCTTGCGTGTGTCTGTGGTGAGGGGATGGTTTGGTTTGGTTTGGTTACAGAGCGGGTTCAGCCAGCCAGGAGTCGTCGACAGCGTCTGGCAATAAGGATGGGGGTTGGCTTGAAAAACAAAACAAAAAACGGTGCCGCTGCGATGAGTGCAGTTGGATACGGCAGATAGGTGGGATATACCCGGAGTTTGGCACTCTTCTCTCAGGTTCGGAATACAGTAAAAGGGGCTGGTCAATGGAAGGGAGTTAATAATAGGTATGTTGAGTCAGAAAATGGGAGTCGTTACGGGAGCTCGTGGTTGTGATTGCGCACTGCACACTCACTCAAGGGCCGTCGCAAGGAATGCACGCAGTCGCGCCTACCATCAGTGACGAAAAGAAATAGGGGTAAATATCAACAAGCGGGTTTAGCTCAGTTGGGAGAGCGTCAGACTGAAGTTTCAACTTCATTCTCATCAACAACGTTGATATCTGAAGGTCATGTGTTCGATCCACATAAACCGCAAGCTTCTTTTTTTGCTTGTGTTGAAGATTGTGTGTGGGGGCGCGGAGTTGGGGGATGCAGAGTTGTGGAGTTGGAGGTTGATTTGCATGGCAGACCAAGTGGGGGCCTGGGAAGTCTCACTTTGGCCCCTGAGCGTATGAGGGATTCTGTGTTGGCGTCCCCAGTGCCTGGAGAAACAATTTTGCCGGCTGCAATCACCACCGCCCACTCGTGACGTCCTGACCGTGGAACTTGAGCTTGGGAGCTCCAGTTGGCGAACGGGGGGTTCATGGAATGAGTACTCTTCCACGGTCTCTGCCAACCGAGCTGCAGGCTATTCCTTCAATGGGATCGCTAAGCCTGCGGCAAACGAGAACATGCAAACCAGGGGCAAGCCAACTCGTGAACCGAACTCCTGTTTTACCCAACACCACTTCAGAGCGTGGCATGCGCTGATGCCAGAATTTCAACCTTCAACCCCACAAACATGCGGGAAGGAAGCCAAGACCAGCGTCCCTGGGCTACTATTGTGGGGAGTGGACTGGCAAAACAGCAAAAAGAAAACAATGCGGTTTGTGTGGATTGAACACACGACCTTCAGATATCAACTCTGTTGATGTTGAGTGAAGTTGAAACTTCAGTCTGACGCTCTCCCAACTGAGCTAAACCCGCCTGTTGATGTTTCCTCCAGGGATAACATCCAGTAGACGAACCTCGTTTCTCGGAAAAGCAGCTCCAGAGCTTCTTCTCCCCTCTGCCGCTGAGAGCCATGAGCCCTCCAGTGAGCAAAGAACATCAGTCACGCTGGCCCCCGACCCTAAGCACCGCCCACAATGCCAACCGAGCCACTTGTGCCTTCGGCTACGGGTCCGGATCCCACATACGGACCCCCGCTCTTCTCGAGAGCTCTGAACCTGTGCCCTCGTTAGCCCAATGCTGTTTGCAAACCGCAAGCCACCGCGCGCGAACTTACTTGTTGACAACCCGCTCAATGCCATCGCAGCCCTTCTTGAGCGTCTCCATCTTTGGGCCATACGAGAAGCGGATGAAGTGATGGCAGGGGCTGTCGAACAAGTCTCTGCGACGCGCCGGGTTCAAATCAAAGAAGATGCCTGGTACCACAATAACTTTCTCCTCCAAGCAGGCCTGGAAGAAGTTCAGACCGTCGGAGATGGGACCGGGGAGACCCTCAAGGTTGAGCCAAAGGTACTGGTCATGCATGTTAGCCGACTGGCCCCTGCGAGATTGGACATACCGACGTACGAAAGTTGAGTCTGGGACTATTTTGATGGAGAATCCTATGGCCCGAAGACGGCCGACGACGTAGTCACGCTTGTCGCGGAAATGGCGCTGGAGAGCAATCATCTCCTTCTTGACCAGCTCGGGCTCAAGCATAGGGATTGCAGCCTCTTGGAACGGCACGTTGGTTCCACCATCCAAGTATGATCCGCATGAGCCAATACTAAGAGGTAGATAGGTTAGCACCAGTGTTCACGACACCAGGCAGAATTATGGAGTGACTAACGCCTTGATGAACTCCTTGGGGCCGATAATCCAGGCGACCCGCCACCCAGGGAGACGAAAACGCTTCGTCAGTCCGTCGATGATGAGAACGTCGTCCTCGTCGACGTCAATCACGTTCTCCTGTTATTGGATTGTATCAGCCCTGCACTAGTCAATTGACTGGGTACGACCTACAGCAGCACTGATAGTCGTGCCATCGCAGTCAGATGTGTAGTTGTAGCCGGCGTAGAACTCGTCGCTGACGAGAGTGGCGCGCTCGCGGCAGATATCTTGGATCTCGGCAAGCTCTGGATTCGCCACGACGCGGCCGGTTGGGTTTCGGGGATTGGACGTAATGATCACCCCGGTTCCGCGGGCAATCTCCTCGGCAATCTTGTTTGGGTGAATGTGGTAGCCATCCTCCTCCGACAGGGGAACCGGAACGGCCGCAAAGTTCTTGAACAGGGACAGCATCTCGTTGTAAGCCGTATAGTCGGGGATGAAGAAGCCGACGTAGGCGTTGTTCAGCACGGCAGCAATGCGAATCAGACCCGCTCGGCCACCGGGGACGATGGCAACGTTTTCCCAGGTATACTGACTGGGCTTGCCTTTCCGATGCATCTCGTTGTAGAGATGGGCCACCGCTTCTCTGAGCGGCTTGATACCCGCTGTCGGGCCATACTCGCGGCTGTCGGTATTCAGCTCAAGGTGTGTTGGGCGGGGGAAGCAGCCTTTGATATCATCTTCCACCTCAGGGGCACCCTCTGTGTTGGAAACGTCAACAACAAACACCATCTCTGATATGGAGCAGTGAGGAGAGAGAGGAAACACATACGGCCTAGATTCGCCCACTTGTCGGGCTCCTCGAAGAAGCCATGCTCGCCAGCTCTCTCAGTGCACCAAACAACACCAGTTGACGCTCTGGTGGCGTCGAGACCAGCGTGCGGCAAATGGCCCTCATGCGCGGCTCTGAACTGGCGGTGGATCTTGCTGGATGCCTCTGAAGGTCCAGAGAGATACGGTTAGCGACGCACCGAAAGATGTGCAAGGTCGGTAAGTTTGAGCTTACCGTTGAGGCTTGGCTCCCCGATGGAAAAGCGGCGACACGGTCGGGGTACGCCCGTGTTGCGGTTGATGCTGAACTTGCGGGAAAATCCAAACGACATCTTGACGATGCTTTCTGAGTTCCCTGCCTAGGAATGTCTGCAGCGAGATAGGTATTTGCAGAGGCAAACACGCTTGCTGTATTTATACCCAGATTCTAAAGTTGGGGCTCAGTAGTGAATAAAGGACCCGAGCAAGGTGTGGGTGTCACTGCAGCGAAACGGTGAAGCTTATGTCTCGCCTGGAAAAGTATGGATGAAGCGAAAGCTGGAATCTGCCGATTTGAGGCCCAACCCAATACCCGCTCCCGTCTTGCTCACCGTCCACCACTTTCCAGGGCTCAGCAGCTAGAAAAACACCGCTGCGCTTTGTGCTATGCATGTCGGGCCTGCTCGAGATCTGAGTGGCCAGTGGAACCTTAGCTAGATCATCGAACTAGGACTTCTCCCATCTTGCGTCCGGTTTGACAACATGCTCGACAGCTCGAGTCTGATTGGCGTGATTTACATAACTCTCCGCTCCTCCATCGATGGCATGGAGGGGCACGGGAGCTTCGTCTGCTATCCCATGTTCCGCAATGGGGTATGGGTAGCGATTTGGCAGGTGGTTTGCAATAAGATTCTTATACGAGATGCGAGGAATGATTTTTCGGGTACAGAACATGGAAAAACCGCAAGACCTGGGGTTTGAGTTTGATCGAACTTCATGGGGTCGAGAGCACTTCGTCAATAACTGGACGGGTTGTGGTTGGCGAGCTACCCCGCGTGAGAATAAGCTTTGGCAATTGCGATGGTTGGTCCCTGCCAAGAGCTCTGGGCCTTCACCGCTCGCTGATCCTCCCAGACCTCGCCCTCCATTCGGCTGCCATGAATGGCGGACAAAGAAATGACACAGGACGGCGTGACAGCTCATGGAAATACGGATACTGTATTTATATTCGTTGACCCAGCGAATGGGTGCTGCGAGTTGAAGAAACCGCAAGGCCGCCTCTTTTGAGTTTCTGCCAGATCTCGATGCTTCGCCGTTTCGCGGCCCGCCGCCGCCTTGACGGCCCTGCCAGCACCGCCTCCCTAGTTAGTACGATGCCAGAGCCAAACCTTCGAGCCACGATGAACCAAACCTGGGAGATCGAAATGGCTTGATTAACTTCCAGAATTACAGGAATTGGCAGGAATACCCGGCTTTTTGGAGTCTGGGGAGGATGCCGTTGCAACGGGCTCACATCCTGACGCACCAGTGTTTGACATGCGATGGTACGAATGGAAACCTCCGATGCGATGATCGATCAAATGTTTCAACACGACGCCGATCTCTAATCTGGCCGTTATCTCAGCGGCGATCCGTCTTTGTGATCTCCGCGCTGCGTTAGACCGATAGAAATGTGGAAGCGGACAGAACGCGTTGCGCACCAACATGCATGGCAAGATTTCCGTGATGGGTGATTACTGTTAAGCAGAGCAAGGCGCGAGGCTGGCGGTCATCGGGGCTTTTGCTCTCCCCAGACCCGGTAATTTGATGCCAAGCCTGCCGAAAAGCTGCCAAGCACGCTGCTTGCACAAGTCGCGTGACCGCCCGCGTAAAGTGGTTTTATTTTCCGCTGATGAGCGGCTGGGCCACTCAGCCGGCGAGTGTGACGTCTGTCCGACGCACTGCCCTCGCGGAACACATGCCGAGTTGAAGAATGGAATATTCATCGAGGACTGCCTTGGAGATCACGGAGAGCTCGGGAGCTGTGTAATGAGATACGTCAGAAACGGCTTTCTGACCTTGTCGCCCGTGTTCCGTAATTACGGGTCTGTCATCAAAGAACGAAAGAACGAGGGGGTCCTGCTGTAACAACCCCTCAGTCGGCCTTTTTGAACGACTCCCACTCAGCCATGCAGCCAAGAAAGCGACGGTGGCAAAGGATCGTCTTTTCTCGAACGCGGCCGGTCGCCCAGGCTTCTGACAGCCCAAACGTGAGCAGCGGGCAGCGCCGAAGCGCTCTGATTGCCAGATAAATCACCGCTTCGATTGACCTGGTCAGGCGCGCTGTGCTCGAAGGGGTTGGTCAGTTCATTGAGTGGCTCCACATGTTGGTAACCTTGTTGAGCTCCCCACACTCTCGCACTTATTCATCAGCCTCACTTTCTTTCACAACACACTTCACTCCTCTTCCTTCCTTCAACCTTGTCTTGCCAGCATCACTCCACCCCGTCCCAGGCTTTTCCTCCTTAGCTTTTCGCTGCCTCGGCAAGCAAACTTTTCCGTCACACATAATTCATACTTTTCTCTCCTGGGAAGCCAACAAAATGGGAAAACGAAAGTAGTTCGTTCGACCTCAGCAGAGAGGTGCTCGGGGACTTGAAAACCCCACGAGTTTGCCTCCTTGGTCGGAGACGTTCCTATCTCCAGACGCTCCGGATTTCGAACCTCCCGTATCATTCCGGCCTCCATCTTCGCGCTCTTTCGCTTTATTCCACAAACGACGCTATTTACCTCTTTGGGCCCGCCCGTCGCTATCACCCTCGTACGTCGTACGTCCCTGTTGCTGCTGGCCTCCACTCGCGCCCGCTCGACCCCACAACGTCCTGGTTTTCAATAGCGGGACGCCAGGACCCCCCATTCTGTTGCAAGAAGCGCTCCGGTCGTGGATCGCAATGGCAGTCGGCGTCAAAGCTGTCTCGAAACGGAGTGCGAGGATGTACATTGAAGACGAGGGCGAGAACAAGGAGAAAGATGGCTCTCGCCATCAATTGAGGCGAGGCTCGGCGTACGAAGACACGATCGTCACTGCAACCACGAAGAATTCGACATGCACTGCAAGCAGCCAAACAACCATTTCTACCCAGTCGAGCCGTCAGACAAGTCTTGAGATTTCGCCATCAATTTCCGCCGTCAGGATGGACCAGAAGATAGACACCGAAGCACCAGAAGGGCTCACGCAGGCGACACAGGGGCCTCACCTTGGAGCCAAAATGTTCGGCTCTGTCCAGGAGTACGCTGCGTTTTCGAATCCTGGCAAGGAAATCCTCCCCGCCGCTGGCCGGCCCTTGAATTTCGGTATCGTCGTCCCTGGGGTGTAT